CACCAAAATACCGAATATCGGGAGGTACTGTTATATGGGGGCTATACGAAGAAGAAGACCTACATACAAAAATTTTTGTCATAGGCTGAAGTACCCCTTACGAACTTTAAATATGAAATTTGAAATAATTCCGGTAAATATTGTCGCTAAAATCACCAAAATACCAAATATCGGGAGGTACCGTTATATGCGGGCTATACGAAGACGTGGACCTGCACAGACAATTTTCTGTCATAGGCTGTAGTACCCCTTACGAACTTTAAATATGAAATTTGAAATAATTCCGGTAAATAATGTCGCTAAAATCATCAAAGTACCAAATATCGGGATGTACCGTTATATGGGCGCTATACGAAGAAGTAGACCTGCATACAAAAATTTTCTGTCATAGGCTGTAGTATCTACTTCGAACTTCAAATACCAAATTTGAAACAATTCCGGCAAATAATGTCGTTAAAATCACCAAAATACCGAATATCGGGAGGTACCGTTATATGGGCGCTATACGAAGACGTGGACCTACATGACCGATTTTCAATACCAAAATTCCTGCAGACATAGTATACATTTGAATAAAATTTTATCAACCTACTTCATTTCGTTTGGAAGCTGGAGTGATTTCCACAGACGGAAGGACATCGCTAAATCGACATAGAAGTCTATGCTGATCAAGAATATATATACTTTATGGGGTCTAAAATGTATATTTCGAGTTGTTACAAACGGAATGACAAACTTAATATATCGACCATACTATGGTGAGGGATATAAAAAACAGATTCGAGCTTCAGCCGTTTCATCTGGGCATTAATGAATCGTTAAGTCAGTCAGTCTCTTTTTAATTTTCTCTTTCCTTCTCTCTCTCTCTCTCTCTTTTTCTCTTTGATTAATATAGTTTGGAGGTCCGTGATAGATCAAAAGATCTTAAAAAGTTTTTTTGGACTTTTTTATTGTTTTGTTATATTGGAAGTCCGTGACAGGTCAAAAGATCTTAACAAGATTTGACGGTTTTTTTTTGTTAAAAAAATTTAAATATTTTTCGAATATCTTACAAATATTTTTTTTAATATTTATTTCTTTAATTTTCTTTCAAATATTAGAAAACAAAAGATAAAATACATACAGGGTGATATAAAAATCTGCAGCATTTTGACATAATTTTTACATTTTTATTTTCAAAATTTTATTGAATGAAAACAAAAAATGTCGGAAATAGCATCAAATTTTAGAATAACTTTAGATTTATTCGAATTGTTCACCTTTGACACGAATTATGGCCTTCAAACGGCCAATGAAACCGTCACACGCTGCCCGAATGTTGCTCTGCGGTATTTTGGCCCATTCCCTGCGAAGCGCTTGCTTCAGGTGATCGAGACTTTGGTATTTTTTAGTGCCAACCTTGCTTTCCAAAAATACTCCAGACACAATAGTCCAACGTATCTGGTATCTGGAGATTTTGGTGGCCATTGTGCGCTGGAAATGAAGCGAGGAATCTCATTTTGTAACAAATTCTTGGGTGGCGCGTGCTGAGTGCGATGATGCTGAGTCCTGTTAGAATATTCAAGGTCTTCGGCCAAAATATTTGCGTGCCCAAGGCTTTAATACACCCCTTCAGAATATTTTTGCGATAATATTCGGCATTTATTCTGATGTCACGGTCGATTAATACGAGCGGAGAGCGACCATCGGCTGTTATGGCGGACCACAGCATCACCATGGCCGGCGCTTGAGTTCTGGGGGCCAACCGAAGGTGCACATTTTCAGCTGACGGCCCACACCATCACCATGACCGACGCTTGAGTTCTGGTGGCCAACCGAAGGTGCACATTTTCAGCTGACATCTTTGGCAAGTGAACACGATCATTTTGTTTGTTTACAAACTGCTGGACAACGAATGATTTCTCATCGGAGATCGGAGAAACCCAAATTCGGCAGTTCACCACTTTCGGCCAAGCGAAGCTACTCTTTAGCTCTTTTGAGTCTATTTTCTTTCTGTTGCGGTGTAAGTTCTTGCAGTTTTTTGGAATTCCAATGGCTTTACCCCGACCTCATTTTTCAATATTTTCCGAATGGAATATTGCGATATGTTCAGCTCACGAGCTATTCCATCCATCGGCCACTGCGACGCGAATCACGAATAACTTTTTTTCTGGAAAATTCTCACCTAAATGCTGTCCGTCCATGTCCGTCCGTCCCTCCGTCTGTCCATGTATTTTTGTAAACAAAGTACAGTACGCATTTATTACCCGATCCAGATGAAATTTTGCACAAATCATTCGTTTGGCCCAAGGACGAACCCTATTGAAATTGGAGATAATTGGTAAAAATTTCGATATAGCTCCCATATATATCTTCGTCCGATTTGCCTTTTATTGTGCACCAAACGTGTAATATCAGCCCGAATAGTATGGAATTTTGCACATACAACCAAATTATGCCTGAAAATAAGTACGCCAAATTTGATCGAAATCGATGCAGATGTAGCTATAGCTCCCATACATATTGCTCATCCGATTTGTTATTTTTGTCCTCCGCAGCCGTAATATGCACTCTGTAACAACAATATTTGGGGAAATATATCAAATACAGCTCAGAAATACATTTGCAAAATTTTATGGAGATCGGTTCAGATTTGGATATAGCTCTCCTATATATAACTTCGTCCGATTTACCTTTTATTGTGCACCAAACGTCTAATATTTGTCCAAATGGGATGAAATTTGGCACTTACGACCAAATTGAGTCTAGAAGCTAGTATGTCAAATTTGGTGAAGATCGGTTCAGATATAGCTATAGCTCCCATACATATTGTTCATCCGATTTGTTACATTTGTCCTCCGCAGCCGAAATATGCACTCTGTAACAACAATATTTGGGGAAATATATCAAATACAGCTCAGAAATACATTTGCTAAATTTTATCGAGATCGGTTCAGATTTGGATATAGTTCCCACATATAACTTCGTCCGATTTACCTTTTATTGTGCACCAAGCGTCTAATATTTGTCCAAATGTCATGGAATTTGGCACTTCCGACCGAATTGAGTCTAGAAGCTAGTATGTCAAATTTGGTGAAGATCGGTTCAGATGTAGCTATAGCTCCCATACATATTGCTCATCCGATTTGTTATTTTTGTCCTCCGCAGCCGTATTATCCACTATGTAACAACAATATTTGGGGAAATATATCAAATACAGCTCATAAATACATTTGCCAGATTTTATCGAGATTGGTTCAGATTTGGATATAGCTCCCCTATATATAACTTCGTCCGATTTACCTTTTATTGTGCACCAAGCGTCTAATATTTGTCCAAATGTGATGAAATTTGGCACTTACGACCGAATTTGGCCTGAAAATAAGTATGCCAAATTTGATCGAAATCGGTTCAGATATAGCTATAGCTCCCATATATATATTGTTCGTCCGATTTGTTATTTTTGTCCTCCGCAGCCGTAATATGCACTCTGTAACAACAATATTTGGGGAAATATATCAAATTCAGCTCAGAAATACATTTGCTAAATTTTATGGAGATCGGTTCAGATTTGGATATAGCTCTCCTATATATAACTTCGTCCGATTTACCATTTATTGTGCACCAAACGTCTAATATTTGTCCAAATAGGATGAAATTTGGCACATACGACCGAATTGAGTCTAGAAGCTAGTATGTCAAATTTGGTGAAGATCGGTTCAGATATAGCTATAGCTCCCATATATATATTGTTCATCCGATTTGTTATTTTTGTCCTCCGCAGCCGTAATATGCACTCTGTAACAACGATATTTGGGGAAATATATCAAATACAGCTTAGAAATATCTTTGCCAAATTTTATCGAGATCGATTCAGATTTAGATATAGCTCCCCTATATATAACTTCGTCCGATTTACCTTTTATTGTGCACCAAACGTCTAATATTTGTCCAAATGGGATGAAATTTGGCACTTACGACCAAATTAGGCCTGAAAATAAGTATGCCAAATTTGATCGAAATCGGTTCAGATATAGCTATAGCTCCCATATATATTGTTCATCCGATTTGTTATTTTTGTCCTCCACAGCCGTAATATGCACTCTGTAACAACACAGTATTTGGGGAAATATATCAAATACAGCTCAGAAATACATTTGCTAAATTTGGTGAAGATCGGCTTAGATTTGGATATAGCTCCCCTATAAATAACTTCGTCCGATTTACCTTTGATTGTGCACCAAGCGTCTAATATTTGTCCAAATGTGATGAAATTTGGCACATACAACCGAATTGAGTCTAGAAGCTAGTATGTCAAATTTGGTGAAGATCGGCTTAGATTTGGATATAGCTCCCCTATATATAACTTCGTCCGATTTAACTTTTATTGTGCACCAAGCGTCTAATATTTGTCCAAATGGGATGGAATTTTGCACTTACGACCGAATTGAGTCTAGAAGCTAGTATGTCAAATTTGGTGAAGATCGGTTCAGATATAGCTATAGCTCCCATATATATATATTGTTCATCCGATTTCTTATTTTTGTCCTCCGCAGCCGTAATATGCACTCTGTAACAACGATATTTGGGGAAATATATGAAATGCAGCTCAGAAATATCTTTGCCAAATTTTATCGAGATCGGTTTCGATTTGGATATAGCTTCCGAATTTAAAAGATACAAATGCTTCGGCATATTTAGTCCTTTGAACTTTAAATTATAATTAATTTCATAGCGTGTATGATTGAATTCTCCCTTAAAAACTTTTAATTGTTATGCGGAGCTCTACTAAATTAGCAAAGTGATGTAGGGTATCATAAAGTCGGCCCCGCCCGACTTTAAGACTTTCTTTACTGGTTTTCCTATAACAATCAATTGAATAATTTTGAGGCATTTAAATAATTTATTTTTTCTAATATTTTTATACCCTCCACCATAGTAAGGAGTGTGTATTAAAATTGTTTTTTTTTTTTAATTTTAATATTTTTTAAATATTTTGCGAAATTTTTCGAAATTCTTACCTTTTTTTAACGCAGAAATGTTCTAATCCATGTTCATATTTGTTATTGTTATCTCTCGTTGTTTGTTTGTAAACAATAGTGCAAATTTTTAAAGATTTTAATGTTTTGTTTTGCTTGATTTCTTTTTGTTTTTCAATTTATTTATAAACTGCGTGATTTACATTTACTTCTTTAAAAATATTGAAAAAAAAATGAAATATTATAGAATTCTTGGAAAAAAAATATTAATGGTTTGTTATTACTTCAATATTTTTTATTTTTAATTTATTTTTTTATTTTTCTCAGATGTTTTTTTTTCGATATTTTTTTTTTTGTATTTGGTTTATGTTTGATTTTTTTAATATATTTTATATTATTATATTTGATTTTTTTTTTAAATTATTGTTTTTTATTTTTCAACATATTCTCAACATTGTTTTAATTTTTAAAAATTTTCGGACAAATTTTTTGTTTGTTTTTGTTTGTTGTTTTTTAAATTTTTTATATTTATTTCAATTTCTGATATTCTTTAATTTTAATTTATTGTTTTTATATTTCAGGTATTTTTTTCGCAGCATTTATTAATTTTTTTTAATTTTTTAGATAAGCTTTTCATGTTTTTTTTTTCAATATATTTTTTTTTTATTTTTATGTAGTTTTTTGATTTTCTTTATATATTATTTTAATTCTCTTCAATAATTTGTTCTCAGCATTTTTTAAATTTTTACCATTTTTCTGACAAAATTTTTATGTTTTTTTATACATTTTTTTAAATTTATTTAAATTTTTTGATTTTTATTTAATTTTCTTTAAATTAAATTTATTTTTAATTTTATTTTAAAAAGGTTGAAAAAAAAATTAAATATTATAATTTTTTTGGGAAAAAAAATATTTTTTTAATTTTTTGTTTTTATTTTTCCAAGATGTTTTTTTTTTATTTGTTGCTATTTTTCCGATATTTTTTTTTTTTATATTTGGTTTATGTTTGATTTTTTTCAATATCTTTTATATTATTATATATTTTTTTCTAAATTATTTTTTTTCTCAGCATTTTTAAAATTTTTACCATTTTTCTGATAAAATTTTTATGTTTTTTTACAATTTTTTAAATTTATTTAAATTTGTTGATTTTTATTTAATTTTCTTTAAACTTAATTTAATTTTATTTTAAAAAGGCTAAAAAAATGAAATATTATAGAATTTTTGGAAAAAAAAATATTGGTTTGTTATTACTTCAATTTTTTTTTATTTTAATTTATTGTTTTTATTTTTCCCAGATGTTTTTTTTTTTTACTTGTTGTTTCCGAAAATTTTTTTATTTGATTTATGTTTGATTTTTTTTTCAATATTTCTCATATTTATTTAAATTTTTTGATTTCTTTTTTAATTATTGTATTTATTTTTTCAAATTTTTTTCAACATTTTTAAAATTTTTTCGGATTAACTTTTTTGTTTTTTTTTTTTCATTTTTTATATTTATTTCAATTTCTGATATTCTTTAATTATTGTTTTATTCTTTAATTTTCATTTATTGTTTTTATGTTTCAGGTATTTTTTTTCACAGCATTTATTAATTGTTTACCATTTTTCTAACAAAATTTTTATGTTTTTTTTTTAACAATTTTTTAAATTTATTTAAGTTTTTTGATTTTTATTTAATTGTCTTTAAATTTAATTTATTATTTTATTTTTTTTATTTTTAAGTTTTTTCTCACAATGTTTTTTTATTTGTTGATTTGATTTTTTCCAATATTTTTTATATTTATTTCAATTTTTATTATTTTTTAATTTATTGTTTTTATTCCTTCAATTTTTTTTCAACATTTTTAATGTTTACAATTTTTTTTTTTTGATAAACTTTTTATATTTTTGTTTTTTTCCAATATTTTTTTTAATTTATTGAAATTTTTTCATATCCTTTAATTTCAATTTATTGTTTTTATATTTCAGTGATTTTTTTTCAGCATTTATTAAATTTTAACCATTATTCAGATAAACTTTTTATGTTGTTTTTCAATATTTTTTTAATTTTTTGATTTTCCTTATATTTTATTTATTGTTTTATTTTTTTCAATACTTTTTTTCTCAGTTTTTTTTTTAAATTTTTACAATTTTTCTGAAAAAAATTTTATTTTTTTTTAAAATTTTTCAATTTTTTTCATTTTTATTTAATTTTTTTTTTTTAATTTAATTTATTTTTAATTTTATTTTAAAAAAAGTTGCAAAAAATTAAATATTATAGAATTTTTAGAAAAAATATTATTGGTTTGTTATTACATCAATATTTTTTAATTTTTATTTATTGTTTTTATTTTTTCCACATGTTTTTTTTTTTTGTTTGTTTTTACTTGTTGCTATTTTTCCGACAATTTTTTATATTTGGTTTATATTTGATTTTTTTCAATATTTCGTATATTTATTTAAATAATTTTCTTTTTTAATTATTGTTTTTTATTTTATCAATTTTTCGGATAAACTTTTTTGTTTTTTTTTTATTTTTATATTTATTTCAATTTCTGATATTCTTTAATTTTAACTTATTATATTTTATTTCAGGTATTTTTTCGCAGCATTTATTTAATTTTTACCATTTTCAAATATTTTTTTAGATTTATGTATTTTTTTATTTTTTTTTAAATTTTCTTTATTTTTATTAAATTTTAACTATTTTTCAGATAAATTTTTTGTTTTTCCAATATTTTCTTAAATTTAATGCATTTTTTGATTTTGCTTATATTTTATTTATTGTTTAAATTTTTTCATAATTTTTTTCTCAGCATTTTTTAAACTTTTACCATTTTTCTGACAAAATTTGTATGTTTTTTTTCTAGTTTTTTAGATTTATTTAATTTTTTGATTTTTATTTAATTTTCTTTAATTTAAATTTATTGTTTATATTTTTTAATTTTTTTCCCAGTTTGCTTTTTTACTTGTTGTGGTTTGATTTTTTCAATATTTTTTATGTTTATTTAATTTTTTTTATTTCATTTTAATTTATTGTTTTTATGTTGCCAAATTTGATTGTTTGCATTTTTTTTACATTTTTTGATATTTTTTGATTTTTTTTTTGATATACTTTTTATGTTTGTGTTTTTTCAAAAATTGTGTTTTTAGAAAATTTATTATTTCAATTTTTATAAATTTATTTCAATTTGTATTTTTATTTTTTTTTTTAATTAATTGTTTTTATTCTGCCACATTTTTTTATTTTTGCAATTCTTTTTCATTTTTTAAAATTTAACGGATAATTTTTTTATGTTTTTATTTCACAATTTTTTATATTTATTTAAAATTTTTGATTCTTATTTAATTTTTTCTAACTATTTTGTATTATTTTTGCTATTATTTTCGATATACCTTTTTACATTTTAAAATTTCATAAAAAAATTAATTATTTCAATATTTCTTTTTCGATTTCCTTTAATTTTAACATAAAATTTTATTTTTTTTTAATTGTTTACATTTATTTAAATTTTTTGAAGATTTTTCTTATCATTTTTCAAATGTTTACAATTTTTCTGAAAAACTTTTTATATTTTCGTTTTTTTAATATTTTATTAATTTAATTTTTTAATTTTTTTATTGTTTTATTTTTTAGTGATTTTTTTCTCAGCATTTTTGAAAATTTTACCATTTTTCTGATAAGGTATTTATTAATGTTATTTTATTTTTGTTTCCTTCAAAATTTTTTATATTCATTTGTTTTTGTCAACTATTTTGTAAAAATAAAAAAAATCCAAAAAACATTTTTTTTTATTTTTTTTTTTTCTAATATTTTTTTTATATTTTCAATTATTTTTTCTCATCACTTTTTCTCTCACTCATCACCATTTCTTTATAAACCTTTTATGTGTCTCTTTTTAAATTTTTTAATATTTATTTCAATTTTTTTGATTTTTTTAAATTTATATAATTGTTTTTATCATTGAAAATGATATGATTTAATGCTCTATTTACATTTTTACAAAATTTTAATTTTTAAAATTTCATAAAAAATAGCATTTATTTCAATATTTTTTCGATTTTTTTTAATTTTAACTCAAAATCTTATAAACTTTTTTCAATATTTTCCCACATGTTACCTTCCCACTTTTTTTTGAATTTTTGTTTTCTATTTTTCCAATTTTTTTTTTTTATTCTCAATATTTTTTTTTCAATTTCTTTCATATTTTTCAATTTTCCTCTATTTTTTTTTCAAACATTAATCATCTTCATTGAACACCTGAAAGTGAAATTTCTATACATATTTTTTTGTTTATACCATCTGTTGTCGTGTGATTTTTCTTCACTTTGTTGTTAATTGTTGCAAGCGGTAGAGGGGAAGAGCGAGATTGCTTTGTAAAAACCCGTTGATGGACCCACGAAATATTCGTATTTTTAAGATACTTTTGTTAAATAATTTTATGAATTTTTTTTCAACAATTTTTTTGTGGCGTCAGACATGGAACACGTTTTAATTCTCACTGAAATGGCATTGCGTTCATCTCAATTGAACTCTGGCTGCTGCCGCTGATAGACATGCTAGACGGTCTGATCTTCGGGGCCGGTATTGGAGAGCCATGGAAGTGTGTTATGTTGTGGTGTGTGTGTTTTTTTTTTTTTTGCATCGGGAGGGTCGCTACGCAATGGGTGCTGGATTATGGGTGAGTCAAAGGGGTTTGTCCAACAAAAAAAAGTACTGGAATTTTTTTTTAACATTTTTTCAAAACAAAAAAAAAATAATTAATAAATAAATAAAATTTCTCATTTAAAAACAATGAAATATTTCTTAAAAATGCACACTTAAATACCTATAAATATTCTTTTTAATTATATTTTTCTTTTTAAAATATTTTGTTAAAAATCACCATTTAAAGATCTTGAAATGTGAAATGAAGGTCTGGAAAATTTCTTAAATATTTTTTTAAAAATCCACGTTTGAAGACCTTGATATTTTCTTGAATATTTTTTAAAAATCCACGTTTGAAGACCTTGATATTTTCTTGAATATTTTTTAAAAATCCACGTTTGAAGACCTTGATATTTTCTTGAATATTTTTTAAAAATCCACGTTTGAAGACCTTGATATTTTCTTGAATAATTTTTAAAAATCCACGTTTGAAGACCTTCATATTTTCTTGAATATTTTTTAAAAATCCACGTTGGAAGATCTTGATATTTTCTTGAATATTTTTTAAAAATCCACGTTTGAAGACCTTGATATTTTCTTGAATATTTTTGTAAAAATCCACGTTTGAAGACCTTGATATTTTCTTGAATATTTTTTAAAAATCCACGTTTGAAGACCTTGAATATTTTTTTAAAAATCCACGTTTGAAGACCTTTATAAAAATCCACGTTTAAAGACCTTGATATTTTCTTGAATATTTTTCAAAAATCCACGTTTTAAGACCTTGATATTTTCTTAAATATTTTTTAAAAATCCACGTTTGAATATTCTTGAAAAATATACTCAAAAGAGCTGTGGGCCGCCATTACAGACGATGGTCGCTCTCCGCTCGTATCTAACCTTATTCTAAAATTTGATGCTATTTCCGGCATTTTTTGCTTTCATTTATTAAAATTTAAAAAAAATGTAAAAATTGTGGCGTTTGACTTTGTTGCAGTTTTTTTATCTCACCCTCTATTTATTAAAAAATCCAAGTCTAGACAACTTTAAATATTTATTAAAAAAGTCCACGTTTAAATGCCTTGAAGTATTCTTTAAATAAAAATTCACTTTTGAAGGCCTTGAAATATTTTTAAAAAATCCAAACCTCGAAATATTCTTTTAAAATCCATGTTTAATTGTTAAAATATCTAATTTAAAGGTCTTAATATTTTTATAAATTCACGTTTGAAGGTCTTGGAACTTTGAAGACAATTAAAAGCACCTTTTAAGAGTCCACAGATTCTTCAATATTCAGAAAAAACACGTTTAAAGCTCTTGAAATATTCTTGAATAATTTTTCAAATCATTTTTAAAAGTATTCAAAAAAGTCTTTAAAAAATTGTTTAAAAAATCACTTTCAAATGGCCTTAAATACTCTTGAGAAAATTATATACAAAACCAGGTTTATAAGCCTCCAGTTTTTTTAATTAATAAAAAAAACCGCTCTTCTTTTTCCACTTGTAGGGCCCCATCGAAGCCATGGTATACCATTGCCCATACCATTTCGTTGATTAGTTTGTGGGGATTTTATTATGGTTTTTTCTGTGACGTTGTCTGCTGCTGTCGACTCTTTTGGGGTGCTGCTCACACAACGGCTCGCTCTCTCTCTCACTTAAGCTCTCACACAAGCAACAAAAACAAAACAGCACACAACGAAATTTCCACAACACAGATGGTCCAATGGATGATCTCTTCGTGAGAGATGGGTGAATGGAGCATAGCAACAACAATAACAACAGCATCCAAATATATTTTGGTGGTTTTCTTGTTGTTGCCATTCTAATTGTTTAGTGTGTCAGAAAACACAGCCTATCTCCCTACCTCACAGTTATACACAGAAACACGCACACACTACCCCATATGAAGTGATGTTGACTTGCTCTCATGGAGCCTTCTCACCAACAACCTTTCAAGAGCATTGATATATATTTTTGCCGTATTTTTTGTTGTTTCTTGTTATATCTCCCCGTTGCACATGTTTCGCAATGCAATTAAGTTCGCATTGTTGTTGTTCTTGTTTCTACGTGCGATAATGGGAATTACTTAATCGGAACAACAATGAACTCGGGCTTCTTCACGAGAGTTATTTATAAGTGGCTGTTCGTGTGCGTAAATTGATATTATATGACCAGACCGATATTCAAATGGCGGAAAAGTGTGGAAAATTGATATCGTGAGAAGATTGATTAATAATTTAGAAAATATGATATGCAATAAATGTTATAGGTTATTGTAATAAATAAATGTAAAAATTAATCACAAATAAATTGAAATGAAAATTATTAGGTATAAAAAAAATTATTAGAAATGAAATAACTATAAAAACATTGTTATAATAATTTTTGAAGAATAGGTATTTTTTTCGATTATTTTTTATTTATTTTTTTTTTTTTTTTTTTTGTAGAATATAGACCTAGCATAAACTTCCAATAGCAAGTAACTGGTTTCCAAAACAATTTTTGGCCGTCGTAGCTACTTACAAATCAAACTATTTGCTGACTATTTTTACGTGTTATTTTTAGCATTTAAAATTTGACAAATAAGATAAAAAGTTTTTGTTCTCCTGTCTCTTTGTCACTAAAAATTGATCAGACCATTGAAATTTACTGAGAAATGTCTGTCAACATTTTTAAAATTTCCCCACTGTCGGCATCCAATTTGAGCAAGTCACAGTTTAAAACAACATGTCATAGTTTTAAAAGCATAGTTGAACTGTGCCATCCACTTTCCATTTAATGGCGACACAAACCGGTACAAATCATAAACAATTTTTGTCATGCCACATTTGATATGTAGATGGCGCCATTTGAATAAAGCCAAACCAACAATATATTATACTTTTTCTTTGGGGCATTTAAACATTTAAAATGAGTATTTAATGTAAGTTATCAAGAATTTTGTGACAAATTAATCGATATGGTTCAATATTTAAAATAAAACTCTCACTACCATCCCATTAGAGTGAGTTCCAGTTTAAGGCAACTTGTCATAGTTTTAAAAGCGTTGGTAAACAAAGCCATAGCCCTCCCTCTAATCTATAACACAAACCGGCATCACAAACAATTTTAGTCACGACACATCACATATCAAGCATTTATAATATCAAAGCAGAATTGGAAAGCTAATAGATTTCTGCAGGTTCTGGTACAGAGCAAATTTATTCTCTCTTCATCCATGATAACAGTTTGATAGCCTTTGCTTTACATTCGTTTCATGCTATTCACTGTGAATGCCAATATGATTAAAGAGGCAGTAATGTTTAGTGAATGCCTCTCATTCTTCTTCTTGCTTTCACCATTGTTTACATTTTATTCAGCTGCTTGGCAAAACATGATAACGCCTCGAAAACCCAAAAAATGGACAAGGGTTGCTGCCAACTACGGCTACCTTATCAATATTCCATGGAATATTTTGACGTCTAAACAGCTGTTTATGTTTGGATGGGGCCGATTTTTAAAACCCTGTAAGGAATTCCCTGTAAGGAATTTTTCGACCTGGTGAACTCTGTGGACAGTCCTGCTTTCGACCTGCTAAGCCCTTAAATGCCTTCTTTTTCGATCTGTTGGTCCCTTAAAATTTGAACCTGGAAGCTTGTGAAATCAAAAAATGGACGAGGAGAACCCTGGAAATAAAATTAGTTTAACGTTATTGAATGGAACTGGCTATGTTTTTGAGGTGGAGGGTATGTCACCAACCAAATATTCCAATTGGAATAATAATCTCTTAATGTCTCCTAACAGATTACATGAAACTAAGAAGAGACCACCACATAGTTGGCTCTTTGGTGGGGACCTGTGCAAGCCGGGGATGGTCAGGCAGTGAATGCAGTATGTTGTTCATGGACTTCAAAGTTCTGGTATTTATTTTTTTCCGTCCCCCTCTGTCTATTACAGCAATGCCCGTCGAATTAACACCCTGGGAGACATGTCTATTGGTGGAACAGGGCTTGGCGGTATTGGTTTCAAAAAAGACTTCCCTATTGCGAGAAGAAAATGAACAGGAACGTAAACATTACCAAGAGCAGTTGGAGCAACGAATATCGCAACAAGAGGAGGCATTGAAAGATGAAAAACTGAAACAGTCAGAGGGAAATATTGAGAAAATTTTGGCGGGGAAACGGAAAAAGTTGCTGAAGCAAGGAGTTCCAGAAAAAGGTAAAGAACAAGTCGCACGGCAGCAGTAGGCATTCTATGTAGAGAAAACCAAGTACTCTTTAAAGCCGGAAAGCTAAAGGCAACACCGATTATACAGATAAACTAAAGTAAGAGATGAACGGCTAGTGGTTATAAAAATTAACTGAGTGGCCAATCAGAATCACTCAGAGTCGATGAAGTGCTCATAGACGATGAAAATACTGAACTGAGTGTCCAATGTATCTAGAACAAGCAGCTAAAGACAAATGAAGTGTCCATTAAAAACGAGCTTTTCCGAGAAACATTTCAAATATAACTTCCTTGCTCTTTAGCTCGCCCTTACATACTCCCTGACAGCAAACAGATCGTCCATATAGACTAGCAGGTTCCCTTATCTTGGTCATATAGACATGTGGGCCCCCTAAGCTTGTCGATATAGGATAGTTGGCAACCAATCAGTCCGTCTATGTATGGACGGTCCAATTAGCTAGCAAGCTTCCTTTTTAGTTCGCCTAATTAAAAGCCAAGTAATCACTATTCATATCGTCTACGCTTAGACCATTTATTTCGTCAACACATAGACCGCCTGGCCTTCAACTCGACCCCCTTACCCCATACAGAACAGCCATATAAAATTGCTGGCTTCTTTATCTTGATTATGTAGACCAGCCGTCCCGTTAAGATTGTCTATATAGAACAGTTGGGACCAAATCAGTTCGACTGTTTCATTTTGTTCGTCTACACATAGACCAGATGGCCCCCGTCCATCCCGTTGAAAAATAAATCAACTGATATATATTTATCTCGTCTACACTTAGACCACCTAACGTCCATTTAGCTTGATTACACACAGAACACCTGATCTTCATTCTACTCCAGCTGACCACATGCGTTTTGCTCTTCTATATATAGACAAGCGCTCTATATATAAAGACCAGCTGATCCCTGCAGGTCCTCTGTAAAAAGATTAGCTAGCCCGAGTTCAGCCTGTCCATATGTAGACCAGCTGTTCTCCTATTCAGTTAGCCGATATGTAGGCCAGCTGCTGCCTTGTGCAGTTAGGATATATATAAATCTGTTGTCCACCTTTAGCTCCTCTATATAGAACAGCTTGGCTTTCATTCAACTTGTCTAAACATTTCTTATACTTATCTTATTTTGCAGACATAAAATTGGATCCCCAGGAAATACTCAATGAAATCAGGCAAAGTATCAAATTTGAAAGAAAAAATGCTTTACTGGACATACCCTGTGCCCATCCTGAACCTCATGGTAATGTCAACATAATTTCTTAATGTAACCAATCAAAATTAATTTATTTTAATTTTAGATGCCTGCATAGTAACATTCCCGGACTCGGATACCTCTCTAAAATATTTGGTATTTCGTGATCTTTGGTCACGTGGGAAATATGTAACATGTGGTGATGCTTTTGGGGCTGATTTTCTTATCTATCCCGGTGATCCGTTGCAATATCATGCCTCACATGTTGTTGTGCTCTTGGAAAATGGTTCTATGAAAGCTTTGGAACTGGTGGCCAATGTTCGTCTATCTGTGATGGTTAACAAACTGTGCGTTGTGGCTTATTTTGACAATGAGGGAGATAAGGATGGAGGAGGGAAAGATAGAAAGATTGCATACCAAACTATTACCTGGATGGGTGATAAGGATAAAGAACGCAGGCAATTTGGAAATATCAATGTGAATACTTCATAATTAGACACAATTTTAAATGGATACATTGGGCTTCCTAAGAAGTAAAATGAAATAAAAAGAAAAAAGAACTCAACTGATGAAAAGACAAGATCAAAAATCCTCGCAAAAGTGTGAGAGCGACTTCAAAGCAAAAAAAAAAAAAAAAAAGATAAGAGGAAAACCTTATTCGATTCAAAATACAATGAAGGAAGAGAAACAAACCAGAAAGGAAAAACTTGCCTGGATAAATTTCAATTTTAAAAAATCGTTTGATTGCAATATTTATGATGGGATATCCATCATTGAGAACAAAATAGAAGCAGATTTAAACTGAGATTTCGGATGAGACTTCCGATATATAGACGTATTACAAAGAAACCAAATTTCATTAAGCGTAAAGTTAACCTGAAATAAAAAGAAAAAAATCCAACTGGTCAAATAATTATTCAAGAAATGTAAAGTTAACCGGATTGCTGCCGAATTAGAAGACTAAAAAAGTAAAGTAAAATGAAATAAAAAGAAAAAAAATACGAATACAATGGATCAAATTGAACTGAGGAAGAGAGTGGGGATAGATTTGTAATCGAGAAATAAGTTTGCATAGCAACTAACCCTATTATCAGGAGATATCCAAAATATAAGCGAACTGTTATTTATCTTAGAGGTAATACCTTATGATTTCTTTCTTGCATAGTCGTACCCGTACGACATGTGCTTTAACTAAATATCATTCGTTCTCAAATATGTCCACCATTAATAGTTGTTACCATCATAAAAATACTTTATATATTGTCTTTCACTTTATTATGATTGCGGCCAATAAAAGCCAGCTCTCTATTGTCTCTTGCAAAGTTATATCACATCTGACAATATAATTACCTACGTTCAGGATCATAAAAGAACACACTCCTCAAAAAAATCTTTCATAGTAAAACAGTAGCCAATGATCAGGCACTTAGAACATAATTTTTATGGTTTTGACCCTCCTTGCCCCCATTCCGCTAACGTTATGGCCATTTGTAAAACATCATTCCAGTTGTATTGTCAGCACATGGTGCAAATATTTTATTAATCACTGCAATTTGTTATGCTAGCGTTGGGATTGTTAAAAACTCTTTCTATGATCTCGCTAGCTGGCAATTTCATCAGTCTATCCTTTCTATTCTTCGGGTGGCAGAATAACTTCTAGTTTTATAGACAATAAAAAAAACTCCAAAGTGATATTCATGGGAGTTGCTTACAAGCTGATCATTATTAAATGATTGCAGAGGATCTTCTTCTGTGCACATTTACTCACTCATGCCACAGTTATGAAGTTTACGGCTAGTTGGCATTATTGGCTTTATAGAATTGGTATTTATAGCTGAAGGGTGTTTCTTTGGAAGAATGATAGAATGGGAATTGAGAAATTGTGTTAAAGACCATTAACCATTAATACAGGCGAACGGAATACAAGAGAGGCTACATATTCCTACACAGGATCATGAAATATTTTAAGGCCACATTTCTCGAGGACGAACTCAAGAGCCAGTGGGACTGCAAAAGGGAGTTGATGGACAATCGTGTCTTTAGGTTTGAGGTCCAATTTGAAATCCTTTTTAAGCGAGCAAAATGTGGGTCAGTTGATCTGTATAAAGAGCTGAATAGAGTTGAAGGAAAGCGTGTCTTTAGGTTTGAGGCCCAGTTAGAAAATCTTTTTATGCGAGCAAAACTTGGGTCAGTAGATCTGTATAGGGAGCTTAACAAAGCTTAGCAGGTCTACATAGGGAACAGCTGAACGGAGAATTATAAAGATTCTGAAAATGGAATCAGCTGGTCCATATAGAGATGGCGTGACCAAGCGAAGGCCCAACAAAATTCATAAAGATGCGTTCGCGGTCTAGTCTGTTCCGTGTAGAGAAGCTGACGGGCCAGTGAAGACCATATAGCCAAGTTGACAGTACAATGAAGTCCTTAAAGACCGGACAAGTGAATTCCATATAGACAAGTTGGCGGGTCAGTGATATCCATATAAACGAGCTGGCGCGCCAGCTCAGCAACAACCATGTGGGCGATCCAGAATCCCACATAGGTAAGCTGAAGTCCAGAGAAGTGAAATCCATATGGGAGAGCCAGTAAAGTCCATAAAGGAGCAGATGACTAGCCATCGAATGCCATATAGATAAAATGGCGTGCAAGTGAAGTACAATCCATGTAGGCGAACCAGTGAAGTCCATATAGGGCCAGATAACAAGCTATTGAAGGCCATATAGAAGCAGATGAGCCATCGAAGGTCGTATAGACAAGCTGGGAGGCCAGTGAAGTAAAGACCATTTAGGCTAGGCAGTGAAGTAAAGTCCATATAAGGCCAGATGAAGAGCCATTGAAGGACTTATAGATAAGGTGGCAGGCCTGTGAAGTCCATATAGGACCAGATGATACGCCACTGAAAGTCATATAAACAAGCTGGCGGGTCAGTTAAGTAAAGTCCATATAGACGAGCCACTAAAGTCCATATAGGACCAAGTGAGCCATCGAAGGGCTGGCGGCCTGTGTAGTCCATATAGGACCGGATGACGGGTCATTCAAGACCATTTAGACAAACTGGCGGGACAGTGAAGTAAAATCCATATAGACGAGCCACTAAAGTCCATATAGGACCAAGTGAGCCATCGAAGGGCTGGCGGCCTGTGTAGTCCATATAGGACCGGATGACAAGCCATATAAACAAACTGGCGGGCCAATGAAGTAAAGTCCATGTGGGCGACCCAGTGAAGTCCCTATAGGACCAGATAAGTCATCGAAGGATATAAAACCATATAAACAAGCTGGCGGGTCAGTAAAGTAAAATCCATATCTGCGAGCCAGTGAAGTCCATATAGGATCGGATGACAAACCATTGAAGGCCATATAGACAAGTTAGTGGGCCAGTGAAGTCCATACAGGACCAGATGACAAGCCACTGGAAGCCACACAAACAAGCTGGCGGATCAGTGAAGTAAAGTCCAAAAAAAAAGAGCCGGTGAAGTCCATATAGGACCAAATGAAAAGCTATTGAAGGCAATATAGACATATATAGGGCGGGTAAAGTCTGTATAGGTGAGCCAGTGAAGTCCAAATAGGACCAGTTGAGGATACACTGTAGGTCATATAGACAAACTGGAGGGTCAGTGAAGTAAAGTCAATATCGGCGAGCCAGTGAAGTCCCTATAGGACCAGATGAGCCATTGAAGGCCATATAGAACCAGATTACAGGGCCCTGAAAGCCATATAGACAAGCTGGCAGGTCAATGAAGTAAAGAACATATGGGCGAGCCTGTGAAGTCCATGTAGGACCAGATGACGAGCCATGGAGGGTCATATAGGCAAGCTGTGCGGCCCTGTGAAGTCCAAATGGGACGAGTTAACGAGCCATTGAAGGCCACATTGACAAGCTGGAGGGTCAGTGAATTGAAGTTCATTTGGGCGATTCAGTGAAGTCCCTATAGGACAAGATAGCAATCAATAGAAGGCCTTATAAACAAGCTGGCGGGCTAGTGAAGACAATATCATCCTGATAGACGATCTGACAGGCCTGTGAAGATCATATAGAGCGTGTGATTTGTATATGGACATCCTGCTGAGCCAGTAAAGTCTATGTAGGTGAAGGTGAAGCTCGTATAGACGAGCTGCCGGGCCTGTGAAATTGATATAGACGAGCTGACGAGTCAGTAATGAATATAATTTTTCAGAAAGACGTGCAGTGGGGAAGTGATGTATATATAGGAGGTCTGACGAGGCAGTGGAACCTATAAATGCAAGCTGCGAGCCCAGTGAAGTAACTAGACGTGTTGCCGAAGTAGTGAAATTAAAATAAAGGACCTGGGAAACAGGGAACTCTTCATAGATCCGAAGAGTGAGAATCCTTGTAGATGGGCTGGCCGAGGCATCTGGGTAACCGAGTTCACTGGATTTTGAGATTTCAAGCAACGGATCTGTTAGTCCTTTGACCAAATACCCAAATTTTCCAATCTATTACAAAATCATTCTCTATCCAAATATATTCCAGCTTATCGTTTATTTCTATCCATAAAAAGAAAAAATTTCTTAAAAATAATCACCATCATCATCATCAGCAGCATTATGTTGATTTAACGAACTACCAACTAACTAATTTTGGCAATATACTTCGTGGTTTTTATCTTTTTGGATTGTATTATAACTCCAAACCATTTCTAGCCATTTTTTCAGCTAATGGTCAATGCAATTTGACTTCCAAATAAATGCTGTGCAATGCGTAACTAACAGCCACTACCAATTCGCTGACACGATTTGCTGCTGCTGCCACTGCCGTTGTTCTCCCAAAACGAATTGCTCAGATTGACTGACAACCAGGCAGATGGGTAAAATACTGGAAAAAAAGATGAAAAAAACCAAACTCCAACATCAATGCTATCGGTTCAACAAGTTAGCGTCATGTTCATGCCACAAACCAAGGCAACATGTTGCTTGCCACCATCACTACCACCATAACCGTAACCAATACCACAAACCAACCACCAGCAGCACATTCTCAATAGGAAGTAGAAGTTTGTTACATTCAGTTGATCATCGTATTGCCTGAAATTGATACCTTTGGCTCTGGCTGGCGAGAGTTCAGTTCTTTTTTTTTCGTTTGGGTTGTTGGGAAACACGCCTGCCTTTGGGGTCTAATTTCATTTATTACCATAAACGGTGGCAGCGGCAATGTTGGCCATTTTCGGCTTGTCATGGCTTATTTAGGAATACATTTCGGCCCCCCTCAACCCAAGACGAAGATGGATGTTGATGTACCTGCTGTTGTACCTGGCTGGGTTTCTGGTGTTCAATCATCACGGCCACAACATGGGAGTAGTCATCATTATCAATGTCCAAAAAAAAAAAAAAAAAAAAACAAAAATTCATCATAAGGCAATGTATTATCAACGTTATTGCTATCTGCGACTAAATATGGTCTTTATCGAATTGAACATTGTTATCGTTGATTCATTAATCTGCCAAGTCAATAACGGGCAGTCAAGAGGGATGCAAAGAATGTTCGATGGAAGAAACATGGTCCTAATAAATTTTTTAAATATTAAATATTTAGAAAATAATTATGTATTTGAAAAAATATTTTAAAAAAATCAAAGTTTTAAAAAATATTTAGAAAATATTTTTTAAAAAAGTCCACGTCTCTATAAAATAAAAAATGTATATTTGAAAAAAATATTTAAAAAACAAAGTTTTTTTAAAAAATATTTAGAAAGTATCTTTTAAAAAAGACCACGTCTCTATAAAGTAAAAAATACATATTTGAAAAAATATTTAAAAAAAATCAAGGTTTTTAAAAAAAATATTTAGAAAATATTTTTTTAAAAAATGCATGTCTCTAAAAAATTAAAAAAATATATATTTGGGAAAAAATTTAAAAAACAAGGGTTTTAAAAAAATATTAAGAAAATATTTTTTAAAAAAAGTACATGTCTCTATAAAATAAAAAATATATATTTGAAACAATATTTAAAAAAACCAAGGTTTTTAAAAAAATATTTAGAAAATA